ACATCACTGAAAATTACTAATCTCATTAGATTCTTCCTTTCTCATACCAACGCACCCAAATATCAATCATACTTATTAATAAACGAACAACAAAATCACCAAACCCTTTTTAAGATTTCCTGATAAAAACAACCCCACAAAGCAAGCCCCTATCTAGTTAGCATAAACAGTTTTAAACATGTATTTAATGCCTTATCAGAATACAAGAACAAAGGCATCTCATGCAGAAGCCTGGTGAGATGCATCCCCTAGCAGCACGCCTGCAGCCTTGGAGGGAGTGTAAACAGCCTCATACCTCCTGGGCTCCTGCTGCTCTCTTACAGAGCACAGAGGAACACAACATCTCACTGCTGGCTTCCACACATTCGTTGGACCCAGAGAACAGATGTTAGCTTGCTTCTGGAGAATAGTCAAAAAAACCAAAAATAAATAGCCAACTTGCGCTATTATTTAAATCTTAAAAAAAATACATAATCTTTTTCATGGTGACCTCATTTATGTATTTGCTGCCACAATCCATTCAATTAAATATTCCACCCTGAAAGAAACTGAGCCTTTTGTCTCCAATCAGATGCTCATTTAAGCCAGGCTTACCTTTCAGTAGTTAAAACAAACATTGAAAGTCAAGTATGTGATTGGTGATATGCTGTGGGAAGACCAACACACTGGCACTTCTGAGGATTTATCCTTTAAACAACAGCATACGCACCTGTACATCTTTATGTATACAAATATTTTCACACAAAGCGGGTAAATTTACATGTACAGTATCAGACTTTATTTTGGGTCACTGCAGGATACAAAGCTCACAATTCAGTGGTGACATCTGCATAATGTGATACAGTAAAACTAAAACCCAGATGTTACGTAAAATATGAGATAGTAACATAAAGAGCATTACCCTAACTTCAGAGAAAACAGCAGAGATTTCTCATGTGGGATGCCATATCCCTTACTCATCTGCAGGGTTTGGGTGACATGGGAAAGCAGATTTAGACTGCTTGTCTTCAAAAGCAAGAGGAGATAGGATGAAATCTGCAACACAACCAACAGTCTAACACAGAGTCTGAATTCCTTCTTAACCCACATCTTCAGTTAATAACCCCTTGTCATATTTAGTACTAAAGTGGCTTCTGTTAAGACCATCTCCAGAATTTGGCTATTTGTGTCATCTTCCTAGCGAGATGGTTTTCAGCAGCAGAGAAGTTGCAGGCTGAAATCAGAAAATATTATGTAATTAGAGGGACAAAGAATGAGAACTATTCAATGGACACCACACACTACAGGTAGAAATCACTTTAGATCAATAGGTGGTCAGATTAAAAAGCTACTGAATTCTTACACAGCTAAAAATAATGCCCCACACACCTGTAATTACTAAATTAATAAGAAATGTTTGACCTCACATGCCCCAAAGCCAACATAGAAGGCAGTGCCACCTCTTGCCCAGGCACCACCTGCTGCTGGTGCTGTCAGCACTGTGCTCTCCTCCTTCCTTGCGCCAACACCACTCTTTTCCCAGCAATGTTTCAACTCACGGAAGCTGGTGGGAGTGTCAGTGTTTTTATTTGCTGAACAGACACGAACAGAGCCACAGTGCAGACATCTGGACACTGTGACATCAGTAGGGCTTTGCTGCTGACTGCACTGCCACGAGCTGACAAGCCAGCGCCAGGAGATTGCAGCTCTGCTGGGCGACATCAACTTCTGCAGAAATGTGTTTTCTTCTTCAACAGCCAGCAAGTACTTCAGTTTGGAAGCCAAGGTGTTGTTTTCATTTGGGCTGCTTTTCTAAAGCCCTTAAAATACTTTCTCCTTAAAAACAAGTCAATTATATATTTTTTCTTCAGCCTTTGATTTAAAAATGAGCTTGTAAGGCCGAAATTAAACTCTAGTTTCACCTGTCTGAATAAACAAAATAGAAATTTCAAGATTAAAAATATACTGATCTTTTATAATGGGAAATTTTGCATGAAGGGGCTATTTGAACATACTACAAGACAGTGCCTCTAGGAATATACATTCAAAATTCATTTTAAAGAAAAAAGATATCCCATTAAATGGCTACAGCTCATTCTTTATCCAAATTTGAGCACTGGAGGATAACCACAGAAGACCTATATATGCTCAAATCAGAAATCTTCACTTTTTTTTTCTGCGGTGCCGAGATGATTCACAACTTTTTCCACATTGTCAAACTCATTTTTATAGCACCAATGCCAGTACAACAGTAACTTGTAACTCTAAGATGTCTCAAACAGATTAGTTCTTCTGGCTCTTAAAGCACTTTTTAATAAATACTTCCTTTGAAATGGTAGTGTGGCTCTTTGTTCTTTGAATTCTAACCAGCATGAGTTCATTTTTTCATTGACATTTTGAGAGTTACTAAAAATGGAACTACACTGACCTCAAAAAATAAAATAAAATTAAAAAAAAAAGGCAAAAACACTTTCTGAAACACTCCTGGCAAAGATAAGTGTTTTCATTTCATGCCTGGAAGCATTACTTTTATTCCTTCCCTACTCTGTTTTTCTCTTTTCCTTCTTATTCTGGCATCTGAGGAGTTACCAGAGAGAAAATAAGTGGTTTCCCTGCAGTCAGGGCAGATAAGGAAATCAACAATGAATCCTGCAAATTCTTTTGTGGTACCAAAACCACACCTTAATATTTCCTTTACTTGACAGACTGTAAGTAATTATGACAAATCCCTGGTCTTGTCTTCCTCCTGATCAACTCGAATTTCTACATCCCATCCACAACAGATCACACGTTTAACAAAACATGAGTTTGGAAAGACAATATTTAAGAAGAAATTGCACCAAAAGAATATTGACCAGCATCAAAGAAAATGGTAGGGCAGAAGAAAAACAGAAGATTTGAGAAGAGCAAGCACTGGGAAGTTCAGGCATACTTAGAGGAGAAATGTGAGAAAGAGGAAGAAAATGTCAAAATGGCTTAGACAAGTTTTCTTGCATTATGAAAGCAACAAAAAGGTGACATGATAAACTGTAGAAAAATTCAGGAAGAGAGGAAAATATTTTGCCCACTGTTATCACATCACTGTGCAAACAGACAGCCCTTCAATTTTAGGAAAGATGATTCTTTGGGATACATCCAAAAACTAACTCACACATTTTACATTTAAAATAGAAATGACTGAAAAACAGAACAGAGAATATTCTTCTTCTTTTCTTTCTTTTTTTTTTCCTTTAACATTCTCCCCACAAACTTTCATGGAAATTAGCCCTGATAGTTTTAGTGGGGTTTTGATTTTTACAGAAATTAAATCTGGTGGATACTCAGATCTCCAATCCTAACCTACCCAATTCAACATGCACACACTCATGCAGAGAAGGCTTCTCCTGATTTCACTTCATGACTTGGCTCAGGGGTTTGCTTCAGAAGCTGCTGTATATTCTGTTTAAATCCAGCGGTTCTAATAGGAAAATTTCCCTTGCAAGGAGGATTAAAATACCCTTTTTTCCAGGAACACAAGCAATTTACTTGAAATGCCAAAGACCCTACACAACTGAGACACAGTGTGCAGGCACAGGTTTTTCAGAGCCCAAGGCAGAGTGCTGCCTGAGGCCTCTGGTGTTTATAGATTAGGTATGTCTACTGCATCTTTGTAGGATTCCCCTCTATCTTCAGTGGGCTTCATCTTCTAATCATTTTTCTACACCAGCTGTTCTTTGAATAACCTTCGACTTCCTGAATAAGCTCCCATTTTTCTTCATACATAATTTCTTTTTTTTTAAGATCAAGTCTTTCTTAGGGAAAAAGAACAAAACAAACTAGAAAAAAAGAATTTAAATGACAATGAAGACGATCATGCTGCAGCCAGGATAATTATCAAAACTTGCTGAATGCCTAGCTGAGAACATATAACAACACACTTTGCTCCACTTTGCTCATTTGTCACTGTTTTACAGGCTGCACATTTCTGACTGATGCTATTCCCTAACCACACATCCTACTTTCTATGTTTGTATATTTATTCCTTTCATCATGAATCACTTTATAGCTGTCTTGATAGAATCTTGTACTATTGATTAAAAAAAAAATGAACAATTTATCAACACCTGCTGTACAACAAGACTTCCAGATCATCCACTGTGGTGATATAACCAATGAAGAATATGTTTGCCTCAATATTAGTATAAAAACAAGAGGCAAAGAAGCCATTGGGACAGAGATATTTATTATTTTTTGTTGCTTTATGAATTTTCTTTTATGAAAATAAAAATATTTCCATGCAAGAAACTCTTGCAGAAGTTGCTGAAATAATAAAATTTAGTAATTTCATTAGATTTTAATATTAATAACTTTCATAACATAGTCATGGGGCAACAAACCCAACATACTAATTAATAGTTTGCTGTCATTACAAACAGTGAAATAATCCATCAGTCCTGCATGTATAAACTTTCCTTTGAGGATTAATTATAGATAGAACATAGGATTCTCACGCTTTCAGAATCAGTAACTTTAGATCAGTCTCTTATAAGGGACTGAGAATTTTTTTTTCCCCAAGCAAAAAACTCTGGTATCTCTAAAATATTATTAAATAACTACCTAAAATCTTGCATTGAAAAGGATTAAAGGAATAGAATGCACATGTTAAGAGGACATACATGGGTAGCTCTTCAATTTTTTTGATCTGGTGTTTTTTTTATAACATCAATGTTCAGCGAAGTTTTATTGATAATTTTTCCCACATTTTCAATCCCAAAACAGATAAAAAACCAACATGCCCAACAGGACCACCTGGTAAAATACTCTATATCAAAATTAAGGTGATACAGAGAATTAGCACGACATTCCACACTCTACAACTGCTATTGAGTATTCCTGTCACAGAGGCAATCTAATCACCAAGCCACCAGTTGGGTGAAGGCTTCCACCCTGTTATCATTAGCATCTGCCTCTCCACAGCTGAATAGAAGAGCTTTTTTATTATTATTCTAACATAAAAAAAAGTTCAGTCTCATGTTTCCAACCTGGTCTCCAAAGTCCTCCGGGAACTTCCACAGTACCACTGGATCTGTAAATAATTGACAGACAGCATTAATCAGAGGCAAAGGAACAGAGTATTACAGTCAGAGTACATTAATATTAAAGAGAGGGTCAGCTTAGCGTCAAGCTTTGCGGCAAGTGCAAAAACATATCTAAAAACTAAGGAAGATACTGGATTATTAAAAGACTTATTTCATATTTATGAAAGTGCATGTTTATTGTTTTACATATGGCAGCAGGTTATAATGTACAGAACTCTTTTAATATTCAATTCTTTATTCCTGAAATACCTCATTCTTTAAGCATATTTAATTTTCTCTTTTTAATTCAATTAAGAAATAAAGAGATAGAAAACCTATTTTCATCCCAGGAAAAAAGAACAGAAAATTATAAGATGGGAAAAAAAGGCCTTTATGAAAGTACAGAAAAACATCCTTTGTGGTTTTAAAAATAGTTCCAATGTAATCAGCACGCTCAAGGAAGAGTTTAGACAAGCTAGCATGGTTCAGTATTTTCTGCTCAGACCCATTTAAAACCAGCATTTCAGTACCTCGAAGTTTTCATTAACCACTTGTACACTGCTAATTATAAAAATAATCAGTTATTTAAGCTACATATTAGTCTGAACTTAATATTGTTTTGAAAGCCTCTGTCACAAGGATTGGAACCATAACCTTTCAACAAAAACACAAACCATGAGCTTCACCCTGCCTCCCCCCTAAGCAGTTAACCTCCTTTGACACAAACCCTTCCCGAGGTGCTACTGTTACACGGCCACAAACACCCAGGAAGCCTCACAGGCTTCTAAACAACACGTTAGCAGCGATGTTTGTCCACCTGCTCAAAGTGAAATTATCCACCTTCCTGCCAGGGAGACCCAGGGCAGTGCCAGAGCTGGACCAGGGGCAGAGCTCTCCAATTCCTACTTGTGTCCCAGCTGCACCACTGACCACGCGGCCAGCAGCAGCTCAGGGTGCCCGAGGGCAGGAAAACAAAAGACAAACAACAGTGAGTGCCAGGACACCGCCTGATGGGAGCTGCCACCTCTTGTCTGTCCCAGGAGCTGCTGGATCCCTGTCCTCCAAGGAGCCAGTGTCTGGGAAACTCTTCAGATTTCCACTGCAGGCTCTAATACCATCACTGTGCGGTAGCTCAGAAACGTCCTTCTCATTGCTAGGTTTGACATCAGAACCACAGGGTTTTCCACTCTTGGCAAAGTACAGAGGTTTCTACTCTTCTTCAGGCCCCATAGATGTTTGCTGGTGCAAACTGGAGGTTTAATAAGAAGGGAAATGTCACTGCTGGTGGCGTCATTCCCAGCTTCTGATCTCAAATCCCGCTGTTCAGCATGGAGGTGTCGCACGTGTACATTTGCTGCTGGCCCAGCCACCAGGAGCTGGAGACCCAAGTCAGTATTCCTCCTTCACCCCTGGCCAGATCTTAAGTCCACAGTAGAACATTTCAAATGTGTTACAAAATTGAACTTGTTAATCAACTCAATGCAATTTAATCCTAATTTGTATCCAATCCAAATCTAAGTGAGACTTTCAATAAAAATGGAGGCATTTGACTCTACTTATTGGACAAGCTTGTTTTTTCTCCTAAGAACATCCAGAAGGGTTCTACTGTTATTATTTAATAAAATATTGTATTTTGCACAATGAATCTTCCTCCATTACTACGGGGAGCAAGACCTTTTGAAGGCAGATACAAAACAAGACATAAGATACTAAGTTTATAAGAATTTGAGAGCAAATAAATACTTATTACAAAGACTGTTTTGTCCTGATCTATTTTGTGCATATTTAAATTGCAAACAAATCTCTATAATGATCAGGTGCAAGAGCAGTTTGACTATCCTGTAAAGGAACTGTTGCTTTTATTCCAAATTAGTATCATGAAAAGGAAAGCAGCTACATTATCAACAATGATCCCTGATAAATCCAAAATCCAAAGAGGAGCAAGTACAGTAACATATCAAATACTCGATGTTAAATAACTTATAAATTACTTGCTCAAAAGCACTAAAAACTTGCAGAATCCAAAAAATACTTTCACAGAGCTTGTAAATCTAATGCCATATGTCCACAAACATTTCAGGCATCAATTTCTCTTTGAAAGAGCAATCCCCCTGCACTCCCACTCCCAGGTACTTGTTGGTGAAGCTGTAGCACTGTGTCTCCTGCTGGTGCAGACTGTCACAGCTACAGATGAGGGAACTGACAGAGATCAACCCAACTGCCTGAAACTTTCCAGGGCAACATTAACTAGATCAGTTCCCCAAAACCATTTGGTTTGCACCAGAAAAAAAGGAAGAAAAACTGGGGAATAGGGACTTGTGGTGAGAAAAAAGCAGGCCTGCTTCATGCGGCAGCACTCCAACATCAAGCATTTGCTCCAGCTCGTGCAATACAAGCTGGTTACCAGCTGCCTCTAGTTCCGTTTCTTATCACCCATTTCTTGTTCACAACTTCCCAAGCTTGCAGTACCATTTATAGTTGCCTCTATTGCAAAACCCAGCCCATGGCCTGCGAGGAGGTGAGGGGACCGCTCTGTGGCGAGGCCAGGCTGCCGGAGCATCGCCAGCCAGGAGCTCAGCAGCATCGCCTCCTCCCAGCAGCCAAGCCAGGCCGATGATTCAGGCAGATGTGAAGTACAGTTACATGAGAAACATTCAGTATAGTGAATGCTTTAGTAACAGTAACAAAATCACGGAGGTTTCTGAAACCTGACAGAAATGTAATTTCTTTTGTTCACTCTCCTTAGTGCAAATGTAACTGCCAGGCTTCAAAATAGGAAGCAGATCGCAATAGCAAAACCTCCAGGCGTTATTTTAAAAGGTCACAGTCATGAGCAAAGTACAATCTCAGAATTAAGCAAAACTTTGGGCTCGGGGTCAAAACATGGGTAAAATTTACACATCAATGAGGTGCCAACAGAGCTAACAGCATTTCACAGGGCCACCCTTTATCTACAGACAAGACCAACAGCTACAGTAAGTTCTTTTGGTGCCCTGATATCACAACAGACAAAAAACCCTAAAACTTGAATTTAGTGTCCTGCTCATCTTGTCGTCTTCACTTCATTCTAAGACTCTCTCATACTACTCCAGCCTCACTTGAAATGGTAAAAACAAATCTAAAGTAAATTCCAGTTCACTCAACTATAGGTATAACAACATTTACTTTCCTATCATGAAAGGATATTTATATCATGAGAGGATAATTAAATTCATGTGATGTAAACAGGAAGAACAATGCTTTTAATACTCCTTCATGAAAACAAAAAAGAGCCAACATTAAAACAAATTCCTAATTCAATCCAAGACAAACATTCAGTGCTACACTCAGCAAAAATTACACGCCTTCAAGACTTGTCCCACTGCTTTGAGCTGGGTTTTGCAGCTGTTATTACTGGCTTTTAACTGGTTATTTTAGTAGGTACTTGCCATACATTTATTAAGTAAGAAAATCTGATGTGACTTGTGCTTCAAAAAGGAAAGTTACTATATTCTTTTTATGCCTTTACTCTCTGAAACCAAACCCTAACACCTATAAAAAGCCTCAGGATTTTATGATAATTATCCAAGTCTGAGATTGGAGGTTTTTTCAAAAGATTATGTTGGTTTCTGCTTTTGGAGCTAGGCTCAGGAAGCATCTGACACATCTTTGGGACAACTTCTCAAAAGGGCTGCAGAGGAAGAAACAAAAGGGTACTGATTCAGAAATAAAAAGAGAAAGTATAATCCAATTCTGCAACTGCATGCACGGTATCCTCAGGTTTACAAAGACTGAATTTTCTTTTCCCTGAGGATTACTTTTCAGATACTCAGTCTGATCTGGCAATGTTAGGTCAATTTTATGCTGATTTTACGGGCGAGAGGATGAGAACCGCTCAGAAATAGCTGTTGTTGTAGTCAGCTGAGGAACTACTGAGTTTCTCCTCATTCACTTTTTCTAACAGACTTTTCAGGACAAATGGTTCGCATCAATTCTAAGTAAATGTAGTAGTAAAAGGAAATTGTCAAGTGCACACATAAAATAGTTTGTGTGGTGCATGTATAAATGTATATATACTGTTGCATGTGTAAATGGATATTTTCATGTAAAACATCACTTTTTCTATGCCTACCACATCCAGGACATAAATCTCAGCACCTGCCAGTGACACTTGAAAATTCCTTTGCTAAATATCCTATAGCATTGGAAAGGGCATCTCCCTTGGTACTAGCCAGATGAGAGACAATCATGGAAAGGTTTGCTGAGGTACCAAAAGAGTGCAGTATAATTACAAAGAGAAAAGCAAGTCACATGCAATGCTTAAAAAAATTATATTCAAGATGTAATCTAGAACTGCTCCAGAAGATAAATGCAGGCAACTATGACACCCACAAAGACAAAAGAAAAACATATGCAGATCCTCAAGGTAATTTCTCTCCAAAAATCTATTCCTGTAGAGACAAGGTCATAAAGCATGTCATCTGTATTTTCAGGAAAACAACTTCTAACACAGTTTAACTTCTGTAACAAATTGAAGAAAATACAAAGGTACTATTTCTCATGACAGAGTGGACTAGAGAAGAAGTACATTCTAAACTATGAAAAAAAAAAAAAAGAATGCTTTCTGGCTTGTAATTTTCCCCAAAACTGACAAGTTAAATACACTCTAAAAATACTCTTCAAAATCATCAAGCTTGCAGATTATAAATGCCACACAAAAATACAATAGGATAAGGTAATTAGCACACATTCAATTCGGTAATGGAACAGAAATTACAAACACATGCTGAGAAACATCATCTTGGGAAATTCTCTTGGATAGCAAGAGAATATTTCAGACAGGAAAACACAGCTAAGGTAAAATGAAACAGATTAATTAAGGAGTCCAGTATTCTGGAGAGAGGAGGAATCTTCATCCCTGTTGGTTGTACTGAGCAGAATAAAGACTGCCAGAGTTGGTCATGCTTGGGACAGAGGAATGGACTGGATATCTGCTCAGTATTCCTCCAGTTATATTTTCTCTGATGCT